CAATTGACATCTACATCCAATGATCCACATATGATTCAAAATATGGATAGGTATTAGTTTTCAGGGCCACCAAAATGGTAAATGCTGAGAGTCATGGTCGTATCAAGGTTGAAAATCTGGATATAAGATTTTGGGTTTGACTATGATACCGGAGAGATATGATATCAAAAAGCTTACAGCGAATCAACTGGTATCATAAAAGAGGTGACTGATCAGGTGGTATTAATCAAAATTTGTAGTGGTGCTTTGATTGGTTAAAATTTTTCTAGTATCATGTGTTCTTCTGGTATTATAAATTTTTCCTTTTTTTGGACTGAAATGTTTTTAGAGTCCATTTACCATGCATTTACTAATATCAGTTGATTGTTGAATCCAAATCTCAACCAATTACATTAAAGTCTGTTTACATTTCGTTACCACGTCTAATAATGCATATTTATCATTATATTCAATCAATTATATCTTTTATTGTACAGTGCAATGAATGCATCTTAAATTTTGCCATGTTTTTATTATATTGATCTTTAAAGATAAAACTTCATTTTCCTTGTCATTTACATCAAAACAAATTAGAAGAGACAAAAAACAAAGCTTTCATTGTAAAAAGGCAAAATATTCTCTAGGTTGTGTTTGATTTCAGAGAGAAACAGAAAATTGAAAGAAAGTTCTTCCTCAACCTCCCATTTCTCTCTTATTTTCTATCAAACCAAGCAGTCTAAAATAGGAGCTCAGATCTTCAAAAGCAAAAACTTTCAGAGCACGGCATCCAGCTGCACATTCATTGAAAAAAAATCTCTTAAGTTTTTGCTTCAAGAATAGGATTACTTCTTGGCACTGTGAATCTTCTATCCACAAACTCTTCCCACATCCCTACCCATTAAATACTACAAGCCCAACCGACAAGGCACAATCCCATGTATTGAGAACATTTCCCCATAATTAACAAATGGAGATAATCCCAATTTGTGCCTACAATGTCCTGTTAGTGTGGTAGGGACGTGGGAAGTTTGGATAAAGATATTCCCAATCTTCTATCTACATAGGCTTTGTTCATGGGATGGATAACCCAATAGACTGGCCCGGTCTGTCTTAAATCAGGCTTGGACAAAATTTTAAGCCCGTGGACGCAGGTTTGGATTTTCCTAAATAAGCCTGGCCTGAACCCGAACCTAGCCTGATAATATTAAATATATAAAATAATACATAATATATATTATATAAATAAAAAATTATTATATATATATATTAAATATATAAAATATTATATAATATAATATATAATTAATATGTTATAAAATACCTATCAAAATTAGGCTTGGACTCAAAATCTAAGCCCGATGGTCTCAAACCTAATATTTTTAGTTTATAAAGAGACAAAGCCTGACCCAACCCATAAACAAATCTAATTCGACAGTTGGGTGAACAGTTATTGCGTTCAGCACTTCACCTGATCCTTACTCTCTTGTACGGTGTGTTGTTGCAAACCTGCCTAACACAAAGCGACATTTCATAGTGCCCGATCTTCCGGTAAAATAATACTCGATGCACATTGTTGCTAACATTATATGGTGCCGCCATCTGTCCCCAACACAAGGAACATCTCCACATGTGTAGAACTAATTGTACTGTTTTTTTTTTTTTAAGGAGAAAATGATGTGTGGGTGAGCTACTTCACCATTATACATCAATTTCATTCAGTCCCCTGATTTCCCTTTTGTCGAAAGAATATTGAGTGTAATTCACACACCCACAGTATAACGTGCCTTTCTCAGAAACGTTTCCAACAGTACTGCAACGGTTTTTGGCAGTGGTTTGGAGAAAATGGTCTGTGGGTGATTGGCGGTTCGCCCACTCAAGTCTGTACGTTGCTGGTCAAGGCAATAGTTTTTGGTATGGTTTTTGAACCGCCGTTGATCTGGATGGTCGGATTGTTTGGCCCGGGAACCATCCAGGAAACCGGTTCTATTTTACTCCAAACCCAGTTTCTAGCAAAAAACTATTGAATTAGTTAACGACATGTTGACCTACGCAATCGAATTGTCGACCCGTTCAATGGTTTTTTACCATTTTTTATTTTTAATTTTTTGTCAGAATGGGCCATCCATTTGAATCGAATAATAAAACCGTCAACCCAAAAATCGGTGGCTAGAACGGTTCCATTTCCAAATCCTTTTTTAAAACCATGGTTTTGAATGACAAAAAAGCCAGATTTTGTTTAAGTGAATGACATTAGATTTGTTGATGCAAAATGTTCAGAGAAGACAGATAATACAAGGAAATATTTCTTAACCACATACATCAATATCCTTAAATCTTCTTGCAGTCTTTTCTTTTGGAATATATCTTTTGGGGTTTCCTCCAGAAACCCCAAACTAAATAAATAGATAATAATTCGTTCTTTGTTTTTTTAATGGAACAATATAGATTGATAGATGGGTAATGTTTCAGATTGTAAGCTTGTAATCTGTTAGTAAATTAAATGGCATACTTAGGTCAGAAGAGAGAAATTGAATAATGTTTTAAGATGGTCAACATGACCGATGAGGCTCCTTTGTTTGTGGTGCAATCTCATTGCATTAGTACAGGTCTATATTATTTTAAAAAACACGAGTAGTCTCAAGAATATTTCTGGAATTTTTAGAGGACAAAATTACTCCTTCATATTTAAATTTATCGATAAAAAATGAGGGTAAATAGGGTAATTGATTATTGATATTAAATGAGTTGAAAAGATGTAATTTTAAGATATTTAATTCCCCCTCTCATTAAATCCAACATTTAAGGTATTAACTTGCATTCACCTTCATTGAATCATATGTTTAAGCCATTTTTGTTTCTTCTGATCATTAAATTTTATTAATTAAATCCATACATAATAAATTAATAATTCCAATAACATGTTTTCATCTAGGTGATGCTAAAAAATTAAACCATTTTAGGTCAAATGGATTAATTCATGTTGCCATAATCAAATAATAAAATGAAAAATAATATATATAGAAATTAAAAAATTGGAAACATTTTTATCATCATATATTTGGCATATAAACAATAATAAGTATGATAAATAAGAAATGTTTTTATTAATGGTGGAAATGGAATGTAAAATTTAAAACCAATTGAAAATAAACTATTTTCCTATTCTCTCTCATTAAATCTAATATATAAGGTATATTCTCTCATTAAGTCCTATATTTAAGATATATTTTTCTCATTATTAAATCTATTAACTAAATCCACAACATTAATTTTAATAGTATAAAAACAAATATTTTGAAAAATAATTTGAAAACAAAACCATTTTCTTATCTCCTGGTGGTGGGTAAGCAATCCAATCATTTGGAATAAAATGGGTTAATAAATAAAGCCATAACTGATTAATAAAAAATAAAATAAATAAAATATATAATACAAAAAAATAAAAAGAATTGGGCATATCTCTAATACTGTATATTCATTATACTAAACAAAAATAAGTATGAAATGTAAGAAGTTTTTTTATTAATGATGAAAATGGAATGTTAAATTTAAAACAACCTAGAAATGAAATGATGTCATAGTCAAATAATATTTTTTTAAAAATAGAAAAAAAACAAAAAAATAAAAAATAGAGAAAATTTTAGGCACATATCTAATGTTATATATTTATAAAAAATAAAAATTGGATACATCTCTAATATTATACATTCATTATATTGTCTAAAAATAAGTATTATACATAATAAATAATTTTATCAATGATGAAAATGTAATACAAAATTTAATGTCAACCTAAACATCAAATTGTTTTCCTTTTCAGGTGATGGGTTAGTGGTTTGGGTCAAGTGGATTAATCGATAATATGATAATTAAATAATAAATCTTTAAAAAATAAAAAAAGTACAAGTAATCAAAACAATATATAGAAAATTATATATTAATTATGTCAAACAAAAATAAGTGATGATAAGTAAAAATCATTTATATAATATGGATGAACTATATAATTTATAATTGATCCAAAAGCAAAACTAATTTCTTATATAAATGGTGGGTCAATCATCCAACTTTTCAAAGAAAGTCATGATGTCATAATTGAATAATAAATATTTAAAAAAAGATATAACACAAAAAAAAGAAAAAAATAGAGAATTTTGTCAAAAACATTGGGAACATTTCTAATGTTATATATTTATCACACTAAATAAAAATAATTATTAAAATATATGACAAAAATGGAATACAAAATTTAATTGTTAAAACAATAATTGTTGTTATTGCAATTTAAACTTTCCATGAACAATACACGTGTACATTTACTACAAGCATTTAAGTTTATTTTTAATCATATTATTACTTTTACTAATTTTCAATTTCTATTTTAATTATAATATATCTAAAATTCAAGTAATTAATATGAAAAAAAAAAATCTCTCATGGTATCACTAGTGCATGGAAGTGAAAATAAGAGTCTACATTTGTGGCCCACGTTTGCTTTGAATGTTACTTCACTTTGCTTTGGGTTCCAGATAATTCATGTGCATTTTAAACAAATAGAACAAAGTGAAACCCAGAACCAAGGTAAACCAGAAGTTACAATCAATTTACTCATATCCTCGTACTTTTGAACCAGTGTAAATAAAATTGCAACTGGACTATGCCATATAACCTAAACCTAGTAGTTCCAACCAGAACAGCTCTGGGATTTAGGAGGTTACTGCACAACATTTACCAGACCAGACTTCACCGTTTAAGGGGGTGTTTGGTACAGTGGTGTTGCATTGTTGTTACAGTTTGGGTTGATCAATACAAATTTGTGAGAAATATATGTTGAAACACATTTATGGTTGATTATAAAAATGCATGTGGTTGAATAATCATTACCATTTATGATTGAAACGCCAAATTTAACATTTTAGGTAAAAACAGCATTTTGTATTGATCAATTCAAAATGTTTCCAAAACATTTCAGATAGAAAAATCTCACACAAATTTGTATTGATCATTCCATAACACAACAGTAAAACAACACCACTGTGCCCTAATTCATTCACTCGTCTTGAATCAAACTCGAGACCAGTTGCATTAAGAGTAGGTGAACAAAAATGAAATTAAATACAAGACAGTTGGGCTTCTGCAAACCTCTTACACTCTTTTAGTGGATTGTCATAATTCCATTATTGTCGGATGCATTTGTCATAATAGCAGAAAACAAGAACCTGAGAATAGAGGTTGGACCCACCTCAAAAATTCTGACTGATGGGGACGAAATACTTCAACATGAATGTAGATTAAGTAACAGAACTCTACTAATTCTGAATATCTCAATTCTCAAGTCCTGGAAGATTCGATAAGACATGAAGAGTACCAAGTGGACTGCGGGTACATCATTGAAGTGAGATCCTTTACAAAAGATTACACTATAGAAAGCCTTTAAAAAAGGCCAGTTCATCTACTGTACATAATCTAGGGTCAGACCCATCTCAGGCTCAACATGTTCATGGACAAAATCTAAATCATCAGGACTCTGATCTGAAAAGTGATCCAGAAACGATGGCCTTAATCCTATCATCCACAACACAGTAGATCTATTATTCACAGAAGACTTTGAAAACAGGGATAACCTTTATGTTCAATTCATCTTCAGAAAATAACCTTCTAGAAATGAAACACAATTTCCACAAGATAAAGCTCCCCATCAAATCTCAACCCTGACGCTTCAGCAGGCTGAAGCAACCCATCCACCATTCCACCAAACATAAATACATAGCGCCCAGAACGATCTGCACAGGCACGATGGAATGATCTACAATTCAGTTGATGACCCTCAGCCTTCAACCTCTTCCACATTTTCCTTGATGATATCTTAGAGTTCAGTGTAAAGGAACACATTTCTATAGAAGGTATAGCACAAATGTCTAATACCCAAAAGTCGTCTTTCCTATGCCTATATGAATCTTCTCCTCCAAAAATAAGTACTTTACCCCCTAAGATGAGGGTAGCTGAATGACCCACCCGTGGAAGGGGCACACCTTGTGGTATGTTAAATGATTCATATATTAACTGAACCCACCTTGGATGCTCCTCTGCAATATCTAATAGCCAAATATCATTGAGAACCTCATAACCAGTACCCCTTCCTCCAAACAGAACCATGCGAGTCCCTCCAACACAGGTTAGCGTGTGCCCTGAGCGAGCTGGTGGTGACATATGGGCTATGATCTCATGCCATGTTGCAGATCTTGCCCCATCAGATATATCCAATAGCCACATGTCACTCAATCTTAGACCATCTAGCCCAATACCTCCATGGATGACCATCTTCTTGTCATCAATACAGCATTCAGCATGTGCTCCACGAGGGGGAGGTGCGAGAGGACCTATATCAAGAAGTCTCCATGACAATTTGATTCCATCTATTTCATTGCACATGATCTGCCCCACCCATGTGTCATTCTGACGGATCCCATGATCATTGATCCCACCAAAGAGGACAAGATAATCACCAACAACAGAACATGTCTGTCCAAAACGTCCACTTGGAGTGCCTGAATTGATCTTCTGCCACCTTGGGATCCTCCTGAAGTCACTGCCTATGTATGCCACCCATGTGTCATCAAGATGGCGTCCTACGTAACAAGATAGTACTAAGGTTAAAAAGAAGGGTGGAAAAGCAATCATCACAAACAGTTCACAAATAGGTTTAAGCAATAGACAAAAATAGAAATATCTTACTGCTCTGGAAATGTCTCAAATATACAATTCACCCAATTGAAATAGCCAGTTGATTACTAGTTCAAGTTCTTTGATGATCTAGCATGGTTTTGTGTGTAGAGATGCAAAAGAAGTGAGCCTAGAACATTTGATCAAGCTGAATTTGTTCACAGCTTCGCCTTATTGGGAATTGTAGCAAGGCTTCCGCAATTACAATCCATCAACAAATCGGGACTTTGCAACTCAATTAATTTGTGCAAACAATTTGAAAATTTTTGAAAAGCTTGGAAGTGTTAGACAACCAAGGAACAAGAGAGAAAGAAAATCCAGAAATTGATTTTAGAAAGTTGAATCACTTCTCTAGCAATATACAATCATGCAAGAAATGGTGAAAAGACTCCATATATATGGTAGTGGTTATTGTATCAAATTACAGAAGTACCAAAGTAAAACCTTTGAGGGGATTTGAAGACAGTTAATAAAAGATTTGATGTATTTCTATGTAATGATATAAACACTTGTTGAAATACCTTTAAATGGAATGAATCTGTGATATAATTTAGACAGCTTATATTTCAGTTTATAGAAAAATAGTGAGAATGGGGACTTATTTTGGAGGGGGCGGTGCTCTGATATGGAAAAATATTCAACAAATGCTCAACCTTGGAAAAAGTTTAAATTTCCCATGCTTCAACCACAAAACTAGCTACTTGAGCCAATTAACCTGACTACATCAAACCAATGGTTTAATGGTAAGAGTTCCTTGTGCTCAATTTGCTCAATAATGCCACAAAATTTTCCATCACAGGGTTGTTCTTGTTGATATTGGCTACACTTAGGCTGATTTAATTTCTAAAAGAATAAAGAATAACTAGGAAATTGGAAATCCTTCCCAAAAACTGTCAATAGCACCCAAGGAAATTTTACAATTCTGCACAGCCTGGCTCTGTCATACTAATATAATTGCTAGAAAGACTAACTAGGAAATTCAAAAGACTTCTCAAAGCCTCCCATTATCACCCAAGGAACCTTAAAAATTCTATATGTTTTTTTTTTTTTTTAATTCTACATGTACCCCAAAAGCTCTCTCCCAAAGCCTGCCATCGTTATACTTATATATGTTTTTACAGGGATTTCTGCAATTAAGTATGCCAATCTAAGATTCCATTTTTATGTAAAAATTCAATCTGCAGCAAGAGATGTAAATGGAAAAGGAGAAAAACTGATATAAATATGGACACAAGAACAAAAAAGAACATTGAGGAGGAATATTTGCATGTTGCATCAATTTTTCCCCTTTTCTTTTCCCTCTTTTTTCAAGGACATTATCATCTGCATAATGCAAAAGAAAAAATTAATGGTCGGGGAGCTCTTTGTTAATATCTAGAACTATGACACTGGTGACTGAATCCACCAAAATACAACTTTCAAGTTTTCAAATCAGAGATAGGCCCCTTCTCACATATAACCTCTTCCAAGAGTGTTATAGAGACATTAACCAAAATCTGATGTTGTCCAAAAGTTCACGAGTATACATGGAAATTGACAAAAGGAGAACCACTTACACTACAAAAAGCAAGTGCTAGGAACAATAACTGTAATAAACAATTTAGAATAATAGTTCAATCAGCTAAAATAAACTACAAGAAATTAAAACCCACTAAAGGGCCAATGAAGACGCAATCAGGTTACCATATATAATATAATAAATCACGTAAAATCCAAGAGATGAACATTCAAAAGACAAGGATTCAAATCCAAAATGTCCAACTCTTAAGATGGGTATCCCAGAAATGGGGTTTAATTTGGTCCAAATATCTTGGATGGTTATCTACCATAACAGAAGTATAGAAGTAGTTGCAATAATAGCTGGGAAAATATTAAGCAGATAACCAAACTCATAAGGAGGAGATATTCATAGAAATACAGAAAAAACATTAAAAAACACAAAATAAATGTCGGCCCCCTAGAGATAATTAACTAAAAGGACCCACAGAAAAAAAACCCGAAGCAAAAAAACCCAGTGAAAACCCAAAAACCTAAAACCAGGAGTATTAAGAAGAAATCTGACCTCCCTCACAACCTCCACCAAACAGAACCAAGCAATCTGAGACGAAATTGAGCGAGTGAGAAGCTCTTGGGCTTGGAAACATCCCATCATCTGAACCAGACAATCTACGACAAGAGATAGAACTCGATTGAGAGACCTGCTGATAGATCTTTCTCCATGGGAACTGCTTTATCTCTGCAGAAGCCAAGAAGGCATCAACATGGCTGTTGCCCCAGTCTCTCCTGCAGATGGACTCCCAGAGAGTGTCAGAGGAGGCCAGAGACTTGAATCTTTTGCAAGTCATGGCGAAGGAGAGGATCGAATCTATGGGGAGAAGAAGAAGAATTGAGATGAGGTGGTCATGGGCTATGTGGGTTATGAAGGATTTGTTGTTGTTGTTGCTGCTGCTGCGGCTGGTGTTGTCGTTTTGGTTACTGTCCTTGCTGCAGTTATCTGCCATTGAAGAAGCTACCTCTGCTGATTGCAAATTTGCAATCATCTAAGACCAGGTTTCCCTATTATTTGTTTTTTCTTTTATGACGACGGTTGTGGTGTGGTGATAGTCTGATAGAACCAGTGATGATGGAGAAGAGAAGAAATGGAGAGAGAGAGAGAGGACGAGAGCAAGGGTGGGTTGTTTGGTCCTTGAGTTTGGATGTTCTCAGGGTGGCCAATTGGATGCGCAATGAAAATAGAATCCGGTAGCCGAAAGGGCCCATGGTTGTACTGCTGGCATGCGTCTATCTATTCATGGGCAAACAATATGCCCTTCTCTTCTGCAAATTTTATAAAAAGTCCTAGACATTGCCAACTGAGCCAGATCATTTTGAGTCCAGCATATAAATTCTTATTGAATTATATACATAGTCATTTCGATTGCCCTCCAGAAGTTGAACCTTTAGTGAAAGTGATCAATTTTTACAAAATTTTTACTTTTATTAATTAACTTTTAATTTTTATTAATAGATAAGTAAATGAATAATTTTAATATTTTCATTTTTTTGTTAAAATTTTAGCTTTTAATTGTTAATATAAAAATAATTATATCCATATACAAATTCTACTTTCATTTTATGAATTAATTGCAACATTTTTATTTTAATTATATAATTTTAAATTTAATTAATACTAAAATGGGATTTGTAGTCATTTTTATTAGTTACTGTTTTACAACTATGTATTAATATTTATTATTTTTAAATGGGTTTGAAATTAAAATTATTTAATTTTAAAAATTCATTTTCTTTATTGTAGGGAGGAGAGGATAGTATTAAGGGTCCATTTGATTTGCAGTTGGAATTAGAATTGGAATCGGAATGGTCTATTCTTTGGTTCATACAGGAATGAGAATGGGAATTAAAATCAGCAGGAATGAGATTTCATTCCCATGGAAGGGGCAGGGAATGGCCATTCTCTCAAATGGCATTCCAGCAGGAATGCGAATGGGATTCCGATTCAACCAAACAGTTTGAATTGGAGTAGTCCATTTCCAATTCTGATTCTAAAACCCTATTATCATGAACCAAACGGGGCCTAAGATCATGGGACAAAGATAGTATTAAAATTTCTGTTTTGGTTTTGTATTGTTGATTAGAAGATTACTGATGTGATACCGGGAAGGATAATGAACAGGTGATGACTTTAGGCTTTGTTTGGTTTGAAGGAAAAAATAGGAAAAGGAAAGGAAAGGTAGAGAAACCTTTACAAATCTTGTATGAATTTCCCTCCTACCTTTCCCTTCCTTTTCCTACCTTTTCCTTCAAAACAAGCATAGCCTTAGTGTTCTGGTTTCGAGTGTTGCCATTGGTACTCTTGATGGCAATGTTACGAAAGGGAAGGTATTGTATTCGGTAATGAGTCGAGAGTCTATTGTATTTTTTTTTTTTTTTAATTATCGTTCTGAGTTACATTGTATAGTAGACTAATGGAGGAAACGAATGCAAAAAAACAGGGGGTTGTTTTGCTGATTTTTGGAGACGTATTACCTCTGTGTGTAGTATACTTTTGTTACATTCAAAAAAAATGCAAAAAAGGGGACAATTAATTGGAGTCACTATTTGGGGAGGAGTAAGGTCATGTTTGATAAATTTGAAAGCTGAAAGCTGAAAAGTTAAAAATATATTAAAAGTGTATGAAATTTGAAAAGAGACATAATTGTTTTTTGACTTTTTAAAGGCTTTGAATAAAAAAGGTTGTTTGTGTTGGATCAAACCTTCAGCATCTGAAATTCACTAATTTTACTATTTTATCCCTAAATTAGACTATTCGGTTGCAATGACGAGAGAAGAAGAAGAAGAAAAGAGAGAGAGAAGGCCAAAGCTTGCCGCCGCTAGTTCGTCAAAGGAGTCACTTGCCACCGCTGGTTTGCCGCTGCGTCAAGTGGAGAAGACGAACGGTGAGAGGGAGAAATGCAAGCATCATTTTCAATCGTATTTTTGGACTTTTAGCCAAGTCTGAAATGCATCTGAACGCATTCAGCGCCTGGCCCATGTCTTATTATTTTAGATCTAAAAATAATTTTCAGACCCAAATTCAAAAACACTTCCAAACACCTTTGACATTTCAAAAGCAACAACTTTAGAGGTTTGAAAAGTGCTATCAAATGCCACCTTAGTGTTTTCACTATGATGTTTACTTAAATTTAGTGTCCTCATACATAAATATTTTTCAAGTGTTGAATTGTCTCCCCGAGTTAATGTCTGAGTCAAATTGCTCGTCGGTATTCGTGTGATACATGGGCAGCATTAAGAGAAGTAAAATGGAACTACTTTTCCCAAGTCATAAATTAGTGGTTCAACCAACTGAGTGAACAATTTGATATGTGATATGATAATAAAATGGATTCGACTATGATACGGAAAAACATAATATCCAAAAAGTTTATGACCAATCAATCAATTTATGCTATATATAAAAAGTGTGAATGTAGTGTGAAACTTTTTTTGGAGTAAAATCACCCTCTATTTCTTTGTTAGAGAAATGGTATAAAAGACATTTTATTATAGCTTTAATATCAGATTTAATGATACTAAAATGGCCTTATTTGTGTATTTAATCAATCTTTAATTATAAAGGTTGAAAGGATATAAAAACCCACCTCGACAAAGTGGGGCAAGGCCGAGCCCCACAGGGATGGGTCAATTGCCATCTCTACACCCCTAGGTTGAGCCCTACGTTTTTTTGTTTTTTTTTTTTTTTTATGAAACTAAAATTTACTATTCCAACAAAAGAGAGGATAACAAGGTTCTTAGAAGAGAGGAGGATAACCCACTCTCCTCAACAAAAGATTTAGCCCCACAGGCTACCTCATGGACGAACAGATTTTTTGATTAGATACATATTTAAAAGATACAAAAAAAAAATTAATACACAAGAACAAAATATGGTCTACTAAGTGTTATAGCTCCTGAGGAACACGCTCTAAATCAGAATTTAAAAAGTTTATAGCCACTAAAGAGTGAGAAAATAATTTTGTGAAACTCCTAGTTGAGAGAAAACAAAACAACAACTGGGATTGCCTTTAACTCCATCTCCAAAACAAAAGATTTCACCTGGCATCTCCTTCTTGCTGCAGCCACAAAAAGAACCATCATTAATCAGATAAATAAAAGCATAGGAGCCCAAGGAGCTCCCACTTAAACCACCATCACAAAAAAAGACATGATCCACATATTTAACATAATCAACACTCCAACTACAAGGGGAAGAGAAAAGGGTGCCTCATCAATATCACTTAAAACTCTTAAAGAAACACACTCTCTACCAAGAGCTAACAATTTTTAATGGCTCTACCAATAGGCCAATTACACCCTACAACCAATCATTACAGATAGACCAAATATGATACAGAATAACAACAATTCAACATAAAAGGGAAGCTCTATCTTCATTAGGGGCTGTTTGGCAAGTCTTTTTGGGAAGATTTTCTGTTAGTTCTGACAGTCAAAAGATGCATTGAGTTTTTGTATGAAAATATGAGCAGCCCAAAGTTAGTTTGGCTATTAGGCATCTTTCTGTCCATTTTTCCATTTCTTTCTGCATAAGAATAAAGTGAGAAAGACGCAAAAAGTTCTATTTGGAGCTTCTCGAAATCAGCCCAAAATGAGTTATTGTGTCTTTTTGACACACCGATTTTTGACAACTAGATAAATTACAAACCAAACGGAAAAAGACTGTAGAACTGTCTGCCTGGCTTGTAAGCAGCCGAAAAACACGCCAAATGGGGCCTATTAAGCGCATCTAAAATCAAAATTTCCACTAAAGAATGCCTAATATCCATGAGCCTTACCATACAAACCAAATAACTCTAGAAAAATTACAATAAAAATAAATAAATGCATCACTTCCTCCAAACCAGAATCACAAACGATACAATTAATTCTACACTAGAAACCACAAGAAGAAAAAACAGACGAAGTAACAACAAAATTTCTAATAACCTTCCATAAAAATAATTTATATTTGGGTAAAAAATAAAGATTCCAAAATTTCCTAACGAGATTCAATTGATTTCCTGAAAGCCTAGAAGCCCATTGCTCTTAAAAATAAGAAAGCCTTGAGGGAAATTTTCCCATTTTTACTTGGAGTCCAGTAGAACAAATCCCTACAAGGAGATCTAATTAAAAACATGAGTGTATTAATAATCTTTCCAACCCAGGTTTCACTAAACACATTTCTCAAAATATTGGATTCCAATTTCCATACTCGCCAGAATGCCTGAAAAAGTTAAATGATTTTCATTTTGAGGACAAGGTCCCATAGGAGCAGTAAAATCTTTAGAATCTTTAGCCCATGGGAATAGACCAAATATTAGTCTTAATTAGGGGTGTTAATTGGACTGGATTTAGTCCAATCCGGTCCAGTCCAATGTTATTCCATTACAAATGGACCAGGTCTAATCCAGTCCAATGAATATTTTGGACCATTTTGGATGAGTCCAGAGACTGTCTAATCTGTTTAAATTCTTGTTAATTTAGATTGATTTCAACTTAAACCTGGTCCATTGACACCTATGTTCTTTTCTTCTATCAGTGGACTAGATATTGGCTCAATCCAATATAAATTCATTATGGACGGACCAGATCCAATCCAATATGTCATATTGGTCTGTCCAATTCATCCAAATTCAATATGTCTTATTGGTCCATCCAATCCATTCAAATAGATTTTGATTTGGACGGAGTCCAACCCAAAACCGGTCCATTGACACCCCTAATCTTAACTTCCCCACACACACCCTCGTTCCCAAAAATGAATAAATAATGGATAAATTTCTATTAAGGCTTTCGATAGATTTTTCCTAAATTTTGATAGAAAGAGCTCATTATTAATGAAATGCCGCGATTAATGAAATGCCAAGCCACTTTCCATTGGAAAGCTTTAATTTATTGACATTTCTAGCTCTTCTTAATCCTAATCCTAATTATTTCTTAATTTGTCCAGAAAAAGACCTATTATATATTCCCAAAATTTTCTTTGAATTTTATCAATCTTATTATTAATATTATCCGGAAGCTGAAATATGGACATAACATGATTAGGGATTGTCTGAAGAACAAAATTCGCTAAATCAATTAGAAGCCTTCGGCTAATAGATTATCCAACACAAAACCAATAGACTCAGCCTTGCTCATTTTCCAAAAAAGGGGAACACCCAGATATCTAGAACTATAGTTAAGATTTCCCATTCTCAATTGCCTCTTGATTAGTTTCTCCCCTTTATGACTTACTGTTTTACTATAAAAGATATTAGATTTACTACAATTAATCAATTGCCCAG